TCAATTGGATTCAGGTCTATTCTTAAAACACCATTGAAACATTTGGACTTTCTTTAATCTAAACTATTTAAATGTAGCTTTAGCTCTGTATTCCTATTGTATCACTGTCCATACTGAGGAACAGTATGTACTTCCCGCAGAGAATGGGGATAGCCCACCTGCCCTCACCCATCCTCACAACCTTCTATAGAAGCACCATAGAGAGCGTTCTGACCAGCTGTCTCACTGTGTGGTGTGGAGGCTGCAGCGAGTAGACGAAGTTGAGAAGAGAGGCGAGAACAGCAGAGAAGATCATCGGAGCTCCTCTTTCTCTCCACAAATACATTTTATCCCAGCGCTGTATGTCCAGAGCCCGTAACATTATCAATGACCCCTCAAAAACCCCCATGGACTGTTCACCCTGCTGCCCTCTGGGGAGAGGCTTTGCAGCATTTGATGCAGATCCAGTAGACTCTGAAACAGCTACTTCCCCACCGCCATCAGACAGCTGAACTGTTGAACAACTTTAAATCATCTCACAGATGCTGCATCAAACTGACAACAACAAACAAAACAAAAAAAACTGCATATTGCACCATATATATTTAAGGTTCTGAACTTCCATATCAATGTGTTTTTTTTGCACCATGATTTTTTCTCCCACACTGTTTACATTTCATCACTGCTGCACTTTAAGAAAAGGAAATGAAAGATGTATATAACAAGAAACCTCAATAAAAGTTGTCTAGGTCTAAGTCTAAGACAAAAAGATATTTTCAAGAGGATGATGCTGCCTCCAGTATTCTTCATCGCTTGACCAGATTGCTGTGGGTCATGCATTGTTAGCTTTCTGCAGCACATGATGTTTTCCATGTAGGCCATAAAGTTTGTGTTACCAGAGCACCTGCTTTCACATGTTTTCTGTGTCCCTTACATGGCCTTCAGTCTTGTAAGGGACACAGCTTTCCTTTAACACTGTCTTCCCTTTGGCCACTCTTCCACAAGGACCAGATCAGTCAAGTGCATGCATAATGCTCCTACTGTTGACATGTCCCTGGGATACTGTTTTATAACCTAACTCTACTTTAAACTTCTCCACAAATTTCTCCCTGGCCTTTCTGCTGTGTCCTTTGTTTGGTGATGCTGTTAGTTCCCCTGGGGTTTTTCTTACAGACTAATGAGGCTGGATTTATACACAGGATAAAATACACCCAAGTGGACTCTATGCAGTTAATATAGGAGATTAATAGACTGGCCAAGCAGGGTATAAGAAATAAAGGAGCTAATTCAATATACACAAATCTTTAGCCATAGCATGTATACTTATATTTCTACTTCATCTTTAAAGCAGGCTCATCAACAAAGGCCAGAAAAATAGACTAAGTGCATTTATTACTTTCGGTCCACAAAATAAGAATTTATCGGCATTATCTTAGCAGATGAATTTTCTGTGACCTTTTGAAACGTATGATATATGTCTTCTTCCATGTTCTACAAAACATTGGAATCATTTGGACACATGGATCTGGCTCTTCCTCCCGATCCGCTGCAGTGAATCATTGGTTAGCAGCTAAAGTGTGTTTATATTTGCGCTGAAACAGATCTTGTCTGTGGTGATGCGTGTGTTTGTGTGTGTGTGTCAGGAAACAAACCAAAAGTCAAAAGACGCCCGAGGACGACACTAAAAAGGCAGCTGCTGCCAGAAAGAAGGTCTCTTTGGGAGAAACACAGACTCTATCAACTGCTCTGGTGCAGTCAGGACACACAGTAGTTATTAAGGCAAAATACACAAAGGCAAAGTCTTTCCCATGATGCATTCTTTCCCAGACTGCAACTAAATAGGGCACACTGGTCATGGACGTCACATTTTTAACAACGGGCCAAAATCCTAAAACCAGAAAAATGACTAAAAAATAGTTTTTATATAGGCGGGAAACTTAGATTCTCAGTTAATAAAACAGTTTCCTTACAACCATGTGTTGGGAATAATGGAGTTGCATAATAATGATATTAGTACAGTAATAGTGATGGTTGTTCATTAGAAAAGTGATCTAGCCGGTTTCTTTTCACATATTCCTAACAGCGTTAGATTACTCACAATCTAAAGCAGCAACAACAAGTCCTTGGCGAACCAGGTAAACTTCCATTGACTTCGTTTAGATCTGGTCAGACCGATTGGGTGCAAGAATTACCAAGAATGCAGCAGCGCTTTTCTTCTAGCATAACAACGAACTGCCAACCACAATGGATAAATGTTAAAATGAAAATTAAGCATGTAATAGAGAGAAACCCTTAAATCCTCAGTTTGTTAGGATATTATTCACAAATAGAGTGCATCACTTGGAGTTTTTGCAACACATTTGTAGTTATCTGATTTGTTCTAACCAGAGAAGGATGCTAATCCTACCTTTGAAATAGAGCTCTAATAGCTCTTCACCAGACAGATACTCCCGTGTACCCGTCATTATCGGTCTGGCTGGCCAGGCTAGCAGGGACCAGCAGGCAGCTGACATTTGCATTAATGATGCTGATGTTTCTGTAAGTCGTTAATTATGTGCAGGAGAAACGACTCAATACACATATGTACCTAAGGTTGGAAATAGCCATAATTTCAATATTGGTTAAAGAACATTTGCATGGGTTGGTCGAGCAGAGACCAATGTGGACTAAACGGTGGCTGAAAACGGATAGCCACAAAAACATTTGAGGCTGAAGCTAGAATGAACACAATGAATCAACAAGAAATGAATATGCACATCATCTATAAATCCCACATAAATCACCAAAGAAATTGTAGCTTTTCATGAGACCCTAGATGTAAATATTAATGATGAGAACAGAGGACCCGGTAATCAATGCAGACAGACAGATTTCTCATAAAGGCTTTTATTAAAAAATGGTGGATCTGCAGTGACTGCAAGGATGTCTAAAGCAGGAACCTCTTCAGGGGGAAAACACAGATTAGTGACCATGTAAATCTGAAGGAGGATGATTATGAAAAAGCGAGTCACTTACCTGGTCTTAAAGTTCAGTCCATACCCAGAGGAAGAGGTGGATACCAGCCAAATGGCTGCCAACACCACGTGGCGAATGCTGTCCAGAGAGTCCCACATGATGAAACTTTGAAGACTGCGGAACAGGCAGGAGTTCAGATCCAAGCAGATTAAAGAAGGCAGGATGATCCAGAAGGCAAAGCCGGTGTCAAATAGGTTCAAAGGAGTCAGACCCAGAAGATCAGAGATCTGAAGGGGTAAAAAAGGGAAATCCAAGTCGATGTTAGGAGGCAGATGAAGGTTCAGTCAACAGGTAAAATCCAGCAGGAGTCAGAAGACAGGCCAGGCAAACAGATCAGAACAGGAACAGATAGGCTCAGACGTCCAAAGGCAGAACGGATCAGGATCAGGCAATCAGAACACAATCAGGTACGCTAGAAATCTCACCAAAGGCTCGAATAATGTAGCACTGGGGACTGGGAACAGGCACATTGAATAGAGAGTGAAGCAGGTTAAGGCAAATTAACAATCAACACAGTCATCAGCAGAGATGGGAAGTAACGAAGTACAAATACTTCGTTACTGTACTCAAGTAGATTTTTCTGATATTTTTACTTTACTTTACTACTTATTTT